GGGACTTTTATTTGAACAAACTTTAAAGACACCCATTTGAAGATGTTTCATGACAAATACCTAAGCTCTAGCTCTAAGATTTTTAAAGTATTTACTATACAGATCTAGGGAAAAACATTTACCCCCCCAGGCTCTGGGCGGGGCCTATTTTGTCCCCAGGGCTATTATTTGAACGAACTTGGTAGACATTCACTTGAAGATATTTCATGCTTAGTATCTAAACTCTAGCTCTTTGGGTCTTAATTTTTTTTACTATATACAAATAAGGAAAACCAATGACCCCAGGGCTTTTATTTGTACAACACCGACTAGACAATGTTTCATGCCAAATATTTAAGCTCTAAATATTTTTTTCAAGTTTTTTCTTTCTGTTGCTATGGCAACCAGTTCAGCATGAAATTTAACTCTTTGAACAATTTTTAAAGTAGACTACCAATAAAACATTCCTGTGAAGTTTGGATGAAATTGGTTTAGCGGTTTAGATGTCGTTTAAAGTAAAAGTTAACGGACGGAAGAAAAAAGATCACAAAAGCTCACCATGTCACTTTGTGACAGGTGAGCTAAAAAGTTGACGACCATGTGGACAAATTGTGCAGACGCTTCGCACCAAAATTTCATAACCTGTTGGTCAAATTTCAGCCACTGTACTCTATGTGCAGTTTTACAACTTTTAGGAATATACAGCAACAACCTTAGATATAGGCAATGTAACTGCATCATAATACATGTGGGTTATTTTTCAAACAAAGGTAGTTTTGCAAAAACTTAGCAAAGGGTTATAATGCACAGGTGAGTATAACAGCACCTGGGACATTTTTCTTCATATAGTTTCATAGCCAATAATTGTTGACCGATAAAATGATGGACATTAGGTGGTCACAAAAGCTCACCATGGCTACCAAGTAGGCCAGGTGAGCTATGAAACAGCACAAATATTACCAAGATACACTTTTATTTCAATAAATTGAAAGCAAACATGGATAAATTTAATCAAGCAAGAACAAAGTTCATAAAAGATCAAATAATGTTTTACCAAGAATGCTCATCACACATAATATGTTCAATACACAAGATTGCTGGTGGATAAAGTTTGTCCAATGCCAGTCATCCATTCATTATGATAAAAGCATGAGGACTGCCATGTAGACAAGTTTGAACCCCGTTCTCCCTAAACAGATAATGAATAAGGACAAACGAGGGATTCTTGCGACCTTAACCTTGAAGGAAAAGATGCACAAGTTGTGTTGTTGTTGCTGCTGCATATTACTGCTGCTGTTGTTGATGTGTATATATATTCACAATGTTGGTACCAAACTTAAACCATTGAAAAGTCAGGAGAGTACCCTGCATGGTACCTGTACAGCTTCACTGCACACGCAACCAGTGCTGATCATCATCATCATTTATTCATCATCTGTCATCATCAACTTGAAAATGTTTATCCTTTCGAGAGAAGTCGTTGGATCAACTCATGAAGGAAAAGTTACGGGTACTATACGTTGGCCTGTCAACAGTCATTATGTGAGATGTAAAGTGTATCTTGGCTTATTCTGAGAGCTGTCTACTTAGACCTGAAAGTAAAAAAGTTGAAAGAATGATAAAAACAAAGCATCAAAAAGGCAGGGCAATAAAACATTTGAAAGCGTATCTGTTTTAATAATGAACAATATTTTTAAAGACCCATTCAGTAAATTTGTCAAGAGCACGTTTTAGATAAACTATCGTTTATTTCATTTTACGCCTTTTTCCAGTCATATACGCGGGTAGTTTCCTAACCATCGCTCCTGGAGAGTTACACCAGTACTAGACTACCTTCCTCTGCGCTAAATTACCAAAGCATCTCCCGGGGATCAAACCCACACCAGAGAGGTAACTGGATTAGAAGTCATAGACTCTAACCCCTCGACCACAGAGGCGGTCTATAATCATAATATATCAACTGAAATCCTTCTACAGTTATGCTGTGAAAACCTATTTTCTATGGACAAAACCATACCATAACAAGCCTAAACATTCATCTATTTCATATGAATTTTCGTCATTCAACAGTCGTGTTCTTCCCACCATTAGATTAAATGATTTTTAATCCATCAGTACTTTTAATACATTTAAAAATCTGCTTCAAATGATGATGCAAATCAATTCTTCAGGTAGAATCATTACATATCAAATTCAAAATGTGAGCAATATTTTGCAAATGCATGATTTTCATGGGACAAGAAATGTCGAACAACATTCATGCCCCACTTTCTAGCCCTTGACTCCTACTATTGGCAGTGATTAATCTAGATGTGCGTCTTGCGTAAAATACGCATAAAAATCGAAAAAGACGCAGTTTCAAAATATGTGCGTTCAATCTGACGCATGCAAATCAGGACGTTTATAATCCAAAATATCACGATTAGTGATTTCTATGTTCAGATTGATTACTTTAATTTCATTAGTTGAATAATTTTTCAATTTCTTCAGTTGAATAATTTAATTTCCGATGATAACAGGTGCAAGACTAATCCCCCATTTGCTTGAAACGTTAAATCCCAAGCAATTGTTGCTTGTGATCGGTAACCGCCCATTATCGGCATTAGCCAATCAGAGCGTCCATTTTGCATAAGAGCGATTCGCATACAATGGTGAAATATGCAGACATTGGCGCTAAAAATGAGAAGGGCACAGGAAAATCGTCAGCAAATGGCCAAAGGCGCATCTAAAATCTGTCCCAGACTTATATTGTATGTTATTTAGTCATCCAGACAAAACTGGTACAAACAACAACAGGTTACCCATTCCCCTGTTATTACGCATATTCTTGAGTTTATCCATTTCCCTATATAGCATTTTTCCAAGTTATCTACTTACCTAACGCCTAATCCCTTTCCCACCTACTACTGCATTTCTACTACTGTAAATTTTATCCAATAAAGCAAACAAAAAATCATAAATCTACTTAATATTTTAAATAATTATCGGTAACTGAAAAAAAGTGTTGCTATTTTAAGAAATGCTGTAAGTTACAGTATAATCTGACAGGTGTGTAATGATTTCCCCTAAGGTCACTCAAGTTCACGTGGAGTGTAAAAAAAAAAGATGTCTATTACATCATCAGAATATTTGACAGGGTGATTAACCAATCAGGGTAACATTGTGCATGACTTTTTTTCATGATCAAAAGGTCTGTCTGTGTATGCTTTCTACACAGAGGCATACAAGGAGCAATAAAAGTCGTCAGTATGTATACAGTGTGAGGGACATTTTGTGCAAATTACGAACAATTTAAATGGATAATGCACAGTATTAGACATAAGTAGTAAGAAAATATAAATTATGCAAATTAGATTTTTGAGCAGCCAATAAAAATTGTTTTGCCTGCAATTAATATTAGTACCAAAAATAACTTTTTTAAGCACTTTAATTACTTAATCGCTTGTTATAAAAACATGCAAATCATGTCAAGGATCTGCTATTAAAAAGACGCATTTATTTTGCTACATGACTCATTGATTTTGCTACAGGACTCATTGTTTTCAAACATGTGCGTCATCCGACGCATTGTAAGGAATTTCTAGATTAATCACTGTATTGGTAATTTCAATTATGTCGTTTGGTCCTTTTTCAAATGTAGGAATGGTCTGTTTATGCCTGTAAGGACATAAACATACGCCTTGATAAATAAATAAATAAACAAGACAACAATTTCTGGCGCAAACCAATAGAAATATTTATATCAAAGTGCATATAAATACAGATCCGAAATACATAAACGATCAATGGAAATATGCATGAGAATAACCAGTAGAAGAATGGGGAGTAGAGTTATAGGCATGTACAAGAGCGGGAACACGAGACTTCCAATTGACCTTGTCGTCTTCCAGAATAAATATTTTTTAAGATAATCAGCGGAAACCATGTGGTCTACAGATAGAACCGCTAAAACATTAACAAAACAATATACCGTATACCCCCTCTTCTTTCAAAGGGGGCATAATAAGAATTATGTTCAAGTGAATACAAGTTTTAAGTTTATAAACCGGTATGTCAAATTCATAGTTTTTATAATTTAAAATGCCTAGACCCCTATATAATCTACACAAGGTAAAAAACTTGTCATAGCATATTTCAAGCAAACACAAACCTTAAAATTTTCATATCTAATCATGCCAGCATGGTTTAATATAGAGAAGTTGTATATGGGACTTCCAAATACACCATAACTAAAACATTTACACAACTTATTCTCAGGAGTCTATGCAAGTAAAAAATTCTCATTAAACTGCACTTCCTTGAAAGGCAATCTCCTACAATATTCCCCTGGCATAATTTTGTTTCATACAGTACTGGGATTATGGACACAAGACCCATACCCATGGAAATTCAGTGTTTTGTTAAAAAAAAATATGCAGAGAGTAAATGAATGCTAACAATCTTGGATGACATCTTCAAACATTTAAGCACCATTCTCATTAATTACGGTTCTATGCACTAATCTGGCGATATAAAAGACCTTAACATTACTGTGGTGTAAACTGTTGGAAAGTTCAGCTAATTAAATTAAAAGTGTCTATAGAATATTACCTAGCCCTCATCTTCCTCCTTTTTCGCTTCAACCTGCGCATACGCTTTTTCCTCCACTGAAAATGCAAACATACAGATTATCAGTCTTTCAAAGTTCAAATACTACAATATTCTTAAAATATCAAAGTTGCAACAAACGCATATAGGTTGCAATCATGGTATGTTACATGGCATTAAAGACTTAAACAATTAAACAACATTCATTCATATTTCCAATGTAAATCATCATTTTCAAAACAATCGAGCATGTATAACCCTATCTAAAATGTCAAAATGATTGCAAATAATGCTTACCTTGGCTCTCATCTTGTTTCAGAGTATCTGCAAAAGAAGAAAAAAACGTTAGATAGTGTTCCTAATTAAAGATGCTCAAAATATGTTCAAGATTTTCTAAGATATTTTTTGACTTTTCAAAACACGTCCTACCTGAGAAGATGAGGGATAAAAGAGAAAGTTATAAGGTCTTCCGGTTCCGGTTTTGAGTTAATCTAAAATCTAAATTATTATATCTGAAATATTTTTGGAAAATTAAATTGTACTTTCAGCCAAAAAACTTTAAAGTTAAGATTTAGTATTCAAATCTCCTAAAAGATGGTTAATTACAGATCTTACAAAACTCACTTTGGCGTTAAAGCTATATTTGGGTATGGTTTTCAGCTTCCAATCTATATCTTCTTACCATCGCAGAAAAAATTGGGGACCAGACAAAAATATGGCGTCGAATTTCAATCAAATTGCTTCCGGTAACAATTTTCCTGCCGGCGGTGAGATTAAATCGGAAAATAAAACGGACGTATCGGATAAACAAACACTTCTTGCAGTTCTACAATTCTTGAAGAAGAATAATCTTAAAGTGAGTATTTAGTACTTCTTATATTTAAATTTATTTCATTTGCAACATGTTTTCGTGATTAACTTATCAATGCAAAATATATGTTTAGCTTCTTGTTCTTCCTGCCAGTTGCTGGCAATTTAACCGTATGCTAATTTAACTGCTGTTCAATAATTGGTGAAAATTTAGCCCTACGATCATAGCAAAATTATTGTAAGTGAATGTCCTGGAAAAGCGGTAGCAAGACACTTCACCCTCCAGACACTTCACCCCTCAAATTTTGAAGACACTTCACCCCTCAAGACACTTCACCCCCCAAAATCAGTAAGACACTTCACCCCTCATCCAATTTTTTTCTTTAAAGAAAATAAGCCAACAACATAATGCTTTTTATATCATATGCTTATTTTAATAATGAGCTGGGACACTTTAAACAGAAATATATGAAAAGATTAGCTAAGAAATATACTTGAAATAATTGAAAATCGTATGATTTGAAAATCGTGAGTGTTTAAACACTCTTCATTTTGGGTCATTTTTTTACAATTTGAATAATTATCCAGGAAAAACAAAGTGCGGGAATGATCTGAAATTTTGCACAAAGATTAGTGGTCTAACCCTACATCAAATGGTACACTTATCTGGAAAAAATATTTCAGTCCCATCATGTCAAAAAACCTCAGTGGAGTCCCTTTAATTCATGATCATCGTATTGACCACTGTTATACAAAGCACTTCCATCCATTAAGTGTTTATTGCATGTCACCTTGTTTATTCAACATGTTGATTGGTTGTTTATTCAACAGTTATCTCATAATTGATTAGATAATTGGATTAAAAAGGTATTATTGTATGAAAATGAAATAAGTGGATAAAGAAATAAATAATATAATATTGTATGTAAAATAAATAAATAAACAATATTGTATGAAAAAAAAATGTATTGTTTGAAAAAAAAAAAAAATGTATATAAAATGAATATGAAAGAATGTAAATTAACGACTGAATGAATGAATTATTTATACACTTATTGTAATACATAAAAAAAAAAACAATTTGTATTTTCCTTACTTAAAAATGTTGCTAACAAATTAAGTAAACTTACCGGTATCACATGCTATGATACTGTCAATTAAAGACACAAAGCAGGAAGTGTGAAAGAGATTACATGTATAATTAATACTGTCTTAATATATATCAAAGGAAAATTCACACATAAATTCACACACTTCAATAGAAAGATTATTCTACAATTTGTTATATCACTTTCACTTAATAATATAAAATATAATATTAAATATATAAAAATAAAATAAAAAATAAAGAATTTACTTACTAATAACTTTGTGATATGAGCCTTATTTTAAGGCAAAAACAACAATTTAAATCCATTGTCTTTGGTCAATTACATGATAAAATAATAATAAAATATGTTAAAACAATAAACATAGGGCCTACTCAATCACTATTGAATACATTTAACATTTTCTACATAAATAGTTGTTACACAAAATAAAAAAAATGGGGGGTGAAGTGTCTCAATCAAATTTCTTAAAATGAGGGGTGAAGTGTCTGCAAAAAAGGGCCTAGGGTGAAGTGTCTGGGGGGGGGTGAAGTGTCTGGAAAAGCAATAAATTGAAACACTCAATAATTAATATGAAATTAGGTGCTACCTTTTGGCGAGGAAAGCTCTTATGAATTATGATTTTAACATAACATGTTTAGTCTTCATGTAAACCAGATCTTTCTTGCAGATATTTTGTACCGTATACAAAACAAATAAATTGGTGGTGTTCAACCTATCATCGGAGGGCTCCGAATATTATATTCCAAAAATCTCTGAATGTAAAGGGGGACCTCTGTGCATGAAAAAGAAAATCCCGTCCGCCATTTTTAGCTCGACTTTTCTATGAAAAGGGGAGCTATCCTACTCGCCCCGGCGTCGGCGTTGGCGTCACACCTTGGTTAAGTTTTTCGTACCACCCCACTTTATTTCAGAAGTATTACAAGTATGGCTTTGAAACTTACCATACTTGTTCACCATCATAACCTCCATCTACAGACAAGAGTACATAACTCTGTCAAGGTTTTTGACAGAATTATGGCCCTTTTTTTGACTTAGAAAGTGTATTGAGCTTGGTTAAGTTTTTTGTACCACCTCACTTTATTTCAAAACCATTGGAGGTATTGCTTTGAAACTGACCATACTTGTTTACCATCACGACCTTCATCAACAGACAAGAGGACATAACTCTGTCAAGGTTTTTGACAGAATTATGCCCCTTTTTGACTTAGAAAATACATTGAATATGGGTAAAATCCACTTATTGCCTTAACCCTTTGAGATATTGCTTTGAAACTTTTAATGCTATTTCACATCATTACCCCATCTGTACGCAAGAGAAGGTAACTCTGTCAAGGATTTGTTTTAAAAATTAAGGCCTTTTATCGACTTAGAATCTTGGTTAAGTTTTTAGTACCAGTCCACTTTTTGACTGAACTGTTTGAGATATTAATTTGAAAGTTGGAATACTTGTTTACAATCATGATTCCCAAACATGTCCAGGAGAAGGTAATTCTGTCAAAGATTTTATTTTGAATTATGGCCCTTAACTGTCAATGTTTTGTATTATAGGCAAGCACTAAAAAACTTATCTATTACTTGTATTATAAGGTAACTATAATACTTTCACATACAAAGTCAAATCTATATATTATGCTGATTGTACAAAAATATACTGCTTCCTTGGCATAGATTTCTTGAAAAATTATGTTATTATGTCATTTACCAAGGTGTTCTGAGTGACGTAAAAATACCTTATTCTCTCAAAGTGGGTTTAATACTATTAAATTTATTTAAGGCTCAACTCAGTTTTTTTTTCTTTCTTACCAGCCCTCTTTTGACTTAAACATTTCAAACTTTGCTGCAGTGTTCAAGGGTATCACACAATTCAGTAAAATAATTCTTCACTAAATATCTTAATGCTCATGGCCATTGTTCACTTTAAAAATACAGAGATTCTTGTATTGCCTTTTACTGCAAAAACTTTTTTTATTGGCAAGCAATAAAAAAGTCGAGCGCGCTGTCTTACGGACAGCTCTTGTTGTTAATCTCTTATCACAGTTGTTGTTTTAATGTTATTTTTTAATGTGCTTATTTAGGAAAAAGGATATGTTAAAGTAAATTTTTATATTAATAATCGTTACAATGAAATGCATGTTTATTTTCTGATTTTGTACATCATTCTTTCACCGTAAGTGTTATTTAGCATGCGTCTGCTAGCAATAGTCTGAATTATGTAGATGCTCATTAAAAGCCTTCTGATATATATCCATATTTAGCTCAAAAGGATTTCAAAATGGCGGCGCCCAGTTAACTAAGGATTTTTTCACAGCTCATTAGGTATTTTTTTGAAATTTCCATTTACTTTTAATTTGATTTCATTTGAATTTATATGCGTCATACATGTTATCTAAGAGCGCTACAGCCCTCGCGGGGACTTTGACCCCGCTCGGACTTTCCTAGTATTATTAAATCGAAAAGTTGCGATTGTTTCATTATCAGAATACCCCGCCTATTATCATTGAGTTACATTGAAAATGATGGTAATCAACTAAAACTGACACTGAAAGTTTGATAGGTCTGGAAGGCGTCTGGACTTTACACCTCCTGGACTTTTCGGCCTTGAATAATAGTCTAGGTCTGGAAGGTGTCTGGACTTTTCGGCCCTTTATAATAGTCTTTACACCTCCTGGACGTTTCGGCCTTGGTCTTTTCACCTCCAAGACGTTTCGGCTACTTTTTTTTATAGTATTGTATACTGTAGGGATTTTTTCACCTAGTTTGTATTATATTGAGTGATAATTGATACAATTAATCATACAAATTCTATATATATTCTTTAAATTATTTGTTTTTATTTGATTTCCTTATAAATATACATGTGTAGTCTATAGTTTGGCAAGTCAGAGCCTTTGACTTCTTCATATTATTCCATTTGTTTGACAGTAAAGAATTGATGGCCAACTTTCAGTGATAATCTGGCTCACACAGGCACTTGCTTCTATTATATACTAACAACGCCTAAAACTATTGTGCATGCGTTTTTATGTATATGTGAATGACATTGAGTCTACAACTGAAAACCAGTTTAAATAATGTTCAAGCAAAAACATATTTTTGTTTGTCCAAATTCAAAACTCTCCAATGTATACAATACTACTCACTGAGTCACATTATTTAATAAAACTTAAATTGTCAAGTTTTATTTGACCTTTTCTGGCTATTCTATCGTTTTTTTTCTTCTTCTTCAGTTTGGCTGTTATTGCCGTCTTTCCCCCAGGAAAAGAAAAAGTCTTTTATATGCAGTTTTCCCCTTTTGCAAAAAATACTGAGTTATTTTTCCCTAACAGCCCCTTTCTGTAACCTGTGAATAAAAGCCAATGGAATAAGGAAGTCAGATAAACAACTAAATACCAAGTGACAGTTAGTGCTATCTTCAGATATAAATTTTTACATTATGTGTGTGTAGAAAACAAATACTGTTTGTTTCTCAATTTTTATTTTTTTGATATTGAAACTATGAATTCAAATGTGAGCAGACATAATACACAAAGTCTGCAGGTTAATGGTTAAAAAGCCTCAGAAGTTATATTAGTATTTAACTTTTATCTCTAAAATTTACAAAAAACACTTTAAAGAATACTTTGTATCTGATATTTTAAAGATGTTAGCACCAATGGGCTTCTAAAACAAGATGGTGCAAAATCAAACTGAAATTTTTTTTTTACATGTGTATACATGTATATATATTTGAAAATGATTTTATTTAATTTATGATGTACATTTTGAATATGCTTACCAAGTCAATAGTGTTAAAAAGAGAAAATAACAAAAAAAACAAAAAAAACCTGGCCAAAACTGAAAATAAATTCTTGACACAATAGTTAACTATAAATTTTATTTATTTTTAGGGCACAGAAGAGTTGTTGAAGAAGGAGACTGGTTTAGACGATGCAGATGTTAAACCGGATACGACTGGTCAATCAGCATCGGAGGTTTCACATGCCTTAGCTGCATATAAAAGGTATTAATTTTGCTAGTTATTCTGAAAAAAAAGGTTCTTTAAAGCAGCCTGCATCTGGATTCATGCTAAATTTCATTAAAATTTTGAAAATGTAATGTATTGAAAAGAAGTAAAATATTGTGAACTGAACATAGAAAGTAATTTACACATTGCAAACAACACTAAAAATCCAAGTAAAAAACCAAAAACTGACACAAATATTAAAATAGTCCTTACTGTGTTAGTCACACAGTAGAAATATGGTGATAAATATTGCAAAATCAGTATTTAATCAGTAATTAATTGCACATAACATGTAGATCATTACTTAAGTCTTGATTATTTTTTCCTTTTCTTAAAATCTAAAAACATTTTTCTAAAGTTTGATTTTCTTTTAATATTTTGGCTTGTCTAGAGACATGCAGCTTTAAGCAGATGTTAATATTACCTGTATTTATTTCAACGTCAGTTTTAAGTAAGGACATCATTTAATACAGTAATGGTTATTTACACAGAATTTGTGTCAAACATGAATAAAACCGGAGTAGTAATTGATGTTATTAATTTTGTTTTCCATAGTCTACAATGTAGCCACCTGGTATGTTAAATTTTTATATTTCAGCTATGAATTTCGTATTGATATGCACCTGGTTGTTGGGCCATCTGTCTGTTAGCAGTTTTGTTATTAAAAGTCACCTATTTGGGGGTAAGGTTCATGTTTATACAGTCTACAATTAAGCTATATTATATTTTTATATTACAGCGATGATGACCCCAGTTTATATGATGATCATTACACAAACTTCAAAGTTTTCATAGAGTCATGTCTCGATGTACATAAGGTAAGTAAACCATTAAAAATAATATTTTTCTAAACCATTAAAAATAATATTTTTCTAAACCATTAAAAATAATATTTTTCTAAACCATTAAAAATAATATTTTTCTAAACCATTAAAAATAATATTTTTCTAAACCATTAAAAATAATATTTTTCTGAACCATTAAAAATAATATTTTTCTAAAGTGACAATATGCTCATTTAATGTCATTTAATAACATGTAATACTTCAACATACTGATGGTGTATTTAACTAAATTAATTTTAATGCTAATTTATCATGCATTACTTTCATGTATAAGAAATATTTCTCATGATAACTTAAGTTAACGACCTAAATCATAATCCTTTATGTTCGGTTATTAAGTCTTAAATACAAGAGGTGTGGTGACCTTAAGGTTAAAGTGTCTGCCCAGAAATTGTGAGTGCAAGGCTTTACAGTGGTTGTGACCATGTTTCTTAATTCATATCTGTAACATACAGTTCAGTAAGCAGATTTGAATGTGATTCAAATAAGTATCAACCGTTGCTTATAAGCTTATTGATAAATCATTTAAATGAATGTTTGATTTATTTTGCAGGTAGAGCTAGCCACTATCTTGTACCCTGTATTTGTACACATGTATTTAGAGCTGGTATACAATGGACATGAGCAGCATGGTAGGTCAAGGTTACCAAACATTTTAGCCTAAGCATGTGAAATTTTAAACCCAATTTTGTGACAATTTCCTTTACTTGTTACTAACTCTTAAAGGGTTAGTTAACTCTCAATGCTTTGAGTTTGAATCTTGTCAGGGACTTTGGATTTTTCTAAGTGAAAGAAGCTATCCGGTAAGCATATAGGATGTTGATAGTCCTACTCAGGTGCCAGAACATGCCTAAAATAATTCATGAACGGGCATCTGAGGTCTTCCTCCATCAGTATTTAAGCTGGAAACTCGCCATATGATTTCTTAAGTGTTGGTGTGCTTTAAAACCAAACAAAAACAAACAAACACACTAGTATATAGCCAAACCAGCAATGTTTGCAATCTTAACTAGACATTATTCTGCTTGCTGTCTAAATCAGGCATTTGGATATCAAAACTTACAGACATATTTACAATGGGTATTGCCCAATTATAAAGCAGGGCAAGTGCAATACAAGAAATCTGCATCATTAGAGGGTAACCAGGTTGCAATAACATGTAAATTATCTACAAGCATAATTTCAAATAATGCACAAATTTTAAATATTTGCAGCTGTGAAATTTTTTGCGAAGTTTTCATTGGATCAAGAGGAGTATTATGTCGAAGATTTGAACAAGTTATCCACAGTTACAAAAGCCGAGCATATGAAAGGGAGTCAACTCATGGAGAATTTTAAGTAAGTTATACTAGTATATTTTGAAATAAAAAATTTAACTTAAGTAGTAAGTTATACTAGAATATTTTTAAAGTAAAAGATTTAAGTAGTAAGTTATACCGTATAAGTGGTTTTTTCTGCGGTGACTTTATTTCTGCGTTTTCTGCGGTCAGTTTCAGCACCGCAGAAATAAAAACCGCAGAATATTTCTCCATGTTTTTTTTTAACGATATGTGTCCTACATTATGACCTGTTTCCTCTAAAGTAATAACGACTAACGGATTATAACGGTTAGCGGGTCATCGAGTTATATAAAATTGCTTTCGGCTAAGTATGTAATATGTGCTTGTAAGGATGTACCTATTGTTAATTATGCCAATTTATGAATAAAGATATTTAAACATCATAGTGTTTGCCTGTACGCTAAAAAGGTTTGTTAACCACTAAATCATTAAAACCATTTTAACCCTTATACTGCTAAATAATCGTTGTATACATTAATTGTTGTCTGATTTACGATAAACTTCTATCAATTTTATTAAATTAAAGATACTACCGGGGTATATTTTTCACACGTCATTTCACGCTGATCAAAAGATGCATGCTGTCTATTGTTGCACATTATATTTGTTTGCAAGCTAACAATATAATTGTTTGTAATTACTATATAGTTTTGCCGTGACGACGATAAACAATATTTTAATACGATATTGAGCTTTGCCTTTATTTTAGTCATGAGTATTTGGTTGGAGGCTGCTTCTTGAATTGAACCATTGTAACAGATACAGTTGTATTAACATACAAATAGGTCTTATGATACTATAGGACTGCGATGTCTAGTCATGAATAAATCACACTTTCTTGTTTATTGCTTTACACCCAATATTATTACTATTTAGGTAAAACACACATACACATTATATCAAGGGTATAGTGTTTGGATGAACATTCGGATGTGTGTAGGATCTGCATATATCTGGGCGTTTCTCGGAACACTGTAAACTTGTACACTGCTGTAACATTTAAATCTTACAACCAGCAATAACAACACAAACTACACAGAATTTCAAATAAAATAAATACAGTCTTGTTGTCTCAACACTTCACATTATTTTTATTTATTTTTTTTTTAAAAAAGAAGAAAAAATACTTGGTTTTATTTTTAAGTAACTTTGTAGATATGTCCTGTATGTTAGATTTTGTTGTAAAGTTATGTATAGTCTCTTATAACTCGTCTATGAGTGGCATTTATGTACAATGTCGTAGGTTTTATATTTGTATTATTTTAATATTGTACATGATGATGAGACTTTAATAAACTATCTTATCTTATCTTATCTTATCTTACGAATGTGTACATGCAAATAAAATAGGTAGAGTAATGTGACTAAGACTTTGATAAGATGAGCCGCAGATTTTAATTCACGTTTGTCCAAAGACTGTGCCGCAGAAATAAAGTCCGCAGAAATAAAAACATGCCAAAATTTGGAAAAACCGCAGAATTTGGAGCCCGCAGAAAAAACCACTTATACGGTACTTGAATATTTTCAAAATGAAAGATTTAAGAAGTAACTTGAACTAGCATTTTTACAAAAATGAAAAATTTAAGTAGTAACTTTAATTAGAATATTTTCAAAATGAAAGATTTAAGCAGCAATTGAGCAGTCTGGTCAAATTGCACAAATACACAGGCTTGCCTTTTCCCCCATACAAATGAATGGTATGAAAGTCCTACTTTATTAAAGGCCCATTATTCTCCAGAAAAGATTAAATATTTATTTCACAGAAGCTTTTTATTTTTTTGTTGTACTTCCAAAAAAGTTACTCATTGGTCAATTACCTGAACCATCTTTTTTTTGCATTTTGCCAATTAGTATGGTTATAGTGATTTAATATTTTGTATCAAATTCAAATTACTACTTTGTTAACATTTTGCTAATTTTATGACAAAATACTATCACATTTACATCTACTTCCCTCAGGGGGAGGGGGTTGGTAACAAGGATCTTATATGATCTTAATCCTTTATTTAGGCGATAAAAAATCATGTTTGCCCTTACTACAGAAATTTCTTTTATTCATTTCTGAGTGAAAAAGTGCCTTTAAAAGACTTTCCAACTGTCCATTGTTAGTCAAGAATATTCCAAATTATGTGGTCCCTCATGGCCTCACACGTTCTCAAAATGTTTTCGAGAAAAAAAAAGTACTATGAAATTATATTAATTACTAAAATGAAGTAGCATGAATGAAATATGTTGAATAAATTGATCTAAAATTACTTTTGAAACATACATGTATAATAAAAGCTACATTTTTCTGGTTTTATAACTTACAGGTCAAGTAAATTTGTGCTGAAAATGTCTCGTGACTCTTACACACATTTGAAGAGATATCTGCAAGAAAAGCAACTCAACTTGTTACTCAACATTATTCAAGAACACTTGTTTATTGATGGTAAGGGGTGCCATGTTTGTTTTGGGGGTGGGGGGCTGGGGAGTGTTCTTGGGCCTAGTGGCTTCTAAAACCAGGAACATGGGTTCAAGCCCTAGTAAGGGACACAGCCATGTTTACTCTAGTGACAACAGTGCTAGATAGTTTCACATTGGAAATTCAAATATTAATACAAGTTGCCATATCTTGTTTTATAATCGAGCGTAAATAAATGTGTTTAAAAATCAGTATTTTTATTGCAGTGTGAAATAGCATGAAATTCTGAATGTTTAAGCAGGCAGTTTCACTTCACCATGAAAATACTGATTTTTTCTTAGAAAACATATTATGTATTTGTTACTCACTAGAATGAGTGGGCTTAGAAATTTATCCTGTAAAAGAGAATGAAATACATTTGTATAAAAAAAGTTATGGGGAA